CGGCCCCCACAGCCTAGGACTCTTTAACTCATTATCACATCTTGCGTCCGTGAGCTGGAAGCCGGCTTGCTATTCAAACAGCTTGCAGTTGCAAACTCAGCGATCTACCTGAAATCCTACGGTGACTGGAGTTACTTTTATGACGCATCGGGGTTAGAGAAGTTTCCCAGGTGGTATCACTCATATCATATGTCACATGCCCATGCATCTGAATTCGATCGCATTCTGTGCCAGCCGCATTGTCTCTGATTGGATTACGTAAGCCAGCAGAACCATGCCCCCAAAGCCTTAAGCTCTGCACCCTTTCGGAAACTCACAAATGCTACTGAACCCAATGCCTCGCAACCCAAACTAAAATTCTATTAGGCCTACAGCCTCTATGCTGGATCCTAGACCCCACACCCACGGCTTACACCCTAAACCACCTAGTAAATCCTAGACCCCCCCATCCTAAAGCCTAAACACTGCATCCAATGCTTATCCTACCGACATTTGCTTCTAAATGCTCAATTCTTCGACTTAGAAGCACCCCTTGCAAGCGCCAAGCGCTCGAGCATTCCCACGCAGCAACTGTGTGTCCATGCAGTCTGATGTGGATCAAGCAAGCAGAGTGCCAAAAGTCCATTTGAGCCGTTCGCCGCTCTCGATTGCCATAGGCCTGTGTTCGCTGCGATATCCCTGATACTTGAATCGGCATCTACCTGCAAGTACCACTTGCATGGTAGCGGAGCCGAAAGGCTCTTGAATTCCAGGGACCTGATTTTGTGTGGCTGCACGGCGCCATGAGCCCCGTGCAGAACTCAAGTGATGAAGCAGGTGGAGGTTACCCTCGCACCAAAGACGGGGTGCCCATCTGGGATGGCTCTGGAGAGAGTTTCCAGGGCTACGCGGAAGCAGCAAGATTGTTTGAACAGACAACGCAGTTTCAGAAGCGCTACTTATGCGGCCCCCGCCTTCAGGCCGAGCTCACTGGTGCAGCCAAGCGACTGGTGATTGGCCAACCTGCGGATTGGCTCTCCTATGTTGGAGGAGTCGATCGACTGCTAGAACACTTGGGCAAGTGTTTGGGCAAACCGCAGATACCAGAGGTGACCGATTTGATGTCGAAGTATTTCAGGGGAACACGGCGCAAGGCCGGCGAGAGCATGGCCGAGTACATCACTCGCAAATGCGAGGTCTATATCCGTGCCCAACAGGCCATGGCACGGGTTAGGCCTCACCATGGAGAGCCACGACCTTCCGGCTCGTCTGCAGGACGTTACGATTGGTCGCAACCTTCGGCTAGCCGAAGGAACAGCTATGAGTCATGGAATACCGCTACGCCGTCGGAGACGGAGACGACAGAGACTCAAGCTGCAGCGCCCGTGTCCGATCCGGCCCCTACCGATCAGGAGCCACCGCAGCGAGCCGAGGACACTTGGTCTGATCAAGCCTGGTCAGATCATTCTTGGCAAGGCTCTTCGTGGAGCTGGAGAACATGGGGATGGAATCAAGGCTACCAGTGGGAGTCGTGGCCAACAGCCCATTCCAAGGCTCCAGCATCTCTGCCTGACCTGGTGCCCGAGTTCGTTCAAGCATGGATGTTGTTACAAGACGCCCAGCTGGATGCGAATGAACGGAACATGGTGCTCACGGCGGTCCAGAGTGACATGCGGCTACAGCGAGTGGCCCAGGAATTGCGGACGCAATTCCCCGAATCGGAGACCCGCCGACGCGACAACACCAGGAAGTACCAGGGAATGTGGGGAGAGGCCTACGACGACGGCAGCGATGAGGACGGGCCATCGGCAGAGTTTTCTATGGCTCCTGAGGACCTTGATGATGAAGACCAGGCGCTATGGGCGGAGGCCACCGAGCAGGTGGAAACCGCCTGGGCAGCGTTCCAAGGAGCCAAGCGAACCCTACGGATGGCCAGAGACAAGCAGAAGGAAGTGAGATTGAATCGTAAATATTATCGGAGTTCGGGGCCCAACAACTCCCAGGCTCCTCGGGACGATTCGCAGATCACTTGCTTACGATGTGGAGCCAAGGGACATCGAGCAGCCGTTTGTCCTGCCGAGAAGCCCCAGAAAAAGGGGGCAGACGCACACGCGCCTTTTGTGTGCTACAGTGACGAAACCAGCTTGGTGGCAGAGACACCGGTGCTGCCCTCAACAGCGGAGGCGATCGACAATGGACAGTGCATTGTCGACAGCGGGGCCACAAAGTCGCTGGGCTCGGTGTATGCACTGGAGCAAGTGATGCGATTGTCAAAGGAAGCTCCCTTTGTGGTGGACCCGACCAACAAGCCCCGATTCGGTTTTGGCAATTCCACCGAAGATGTATGCTTGTCAACCACTCAGGTTCCTCTCAAGGCGGATGGTCGCGCAGGCCACCTGCGAGTGCATGCTCTTGACAAAGGGCAAGGCCCAATACTGCTATCAATTGAGGCGCTCAGGAATCTCAAAGCAGTTGTGGACTTCGATGAGGATCTGATGGTCCTTCGGGCTTTGAACACTCGGAAGGTGATCAAGTTGGGCCGCTCTAGCAGTGGCCATCAGCTCCTGCCCCTGACGTCAGACTTGTATGGCACCGCCGAGGACACCTGTGAGGAAGTGCCTAGCTTGTCCGCATTTTTGAAACACGCTCCCAAGGAGGAGTAGGGACAACTCCTCCCCGAGTCGACTTCTGGCGACAAAAGGGAGGACGAGAACGTAGTTCCAGAATTGTTAACGACACCTGCTGCCCCAGGCAGCGGACACATTTTGGGGAAGCCACAGAGATCTCATGAGAACTCTAGGGTTGAAGACATCACGCTTATCGGGGATGTCACTTGTCAATCTAAATCTTCGGAACAAGGCTGTGTAGAGCATGAGTCGTTGTTGCGTGAAGTGATCACGACTCCTACCTCGATGCAGCTTCCAGCTACACAAGCACTCCACAGCACCGCCTTCGCCTCTTCACCTCGAGATCCTCGCCATGTCCGATTTGAACCGAGAGGAACTCACAGCAGCCCTGACCAAGGCGGGTGTGACGGTGCCGAAGGGATGGACCAAAATCGAGATGCAACTACGCCTGGAACAAATCACAGGCCAGGACATGTCGGAGAAGATGAAGCCAAAGGCCGCCAAGGAGAAGTCCCCCTACCAGCAGATGGTGGCCAAGCTCAACCAAGCATCGCGCCGCAAGAACCTACTTGTGGAGTTCGTGGAAACCGAGCTGAAGATGACCAACATGCACAACTACACCATGGACCGCATCAAGATGATGGCCATGCGTCGGATCTACGACCTTGCGCAGGCGCATCCCAGCGACCTGCTGGGATTCGGCAAGCACAGCGAGCAAACCTACGAGGCAGTCTGGACGACCGATCCAGGCTACTGCACATGGGCAAAGAACATCATCAAGGAGCCGGGCAGCGAGTGCGATCCCAGGCTGATCCGGTTTGCCACGTGGTTGGTGCAACAGGACGAGATGGAGCTGAAGCCCCCCACCGCTCCAGTGATCGAGAACCACAAGCGGGGTCGCAAGCCAGCGGCCTCAGAGGAGAAACCGACCGAGACTGCCATCCTGCAGGCCTTGATGGAGCAGGTGACCGAGCTGAAGAACGAGGTTCGGGAGATGCGCCAGGGCAGCACCCGCAGCACGGGGAGCCAGGAGGATGCGATTCTCGACAAGGACTAGTGAGTCCCCCGCAGTCTGAGGCCGAGGATTCCGAGGACACAGGGATTCAACTGAGTGCTTCCCAGCAACTGAGTAGGAGGCTTAAGATGAACAAGCACCAAGCCACCAGTCTTGAGCGAGCTTCTTGGGCGGTGGTTCCTAAGTTGTTTGATGATATTGTGACTGTCCATAGACCTGTGCTTATGGAAGTTGCGTGCAGCCCTCAGAGTGCTTTGTCGGAAGCGATTCAATCCGTCATGTTGGATCCTCAGTCAGCCGTCCGGTGTAGCCAGTGGAACGCTTGCGACCTGGCTACCGATGAAGGGGTTCTGATGATTATTCGTCAGATTGAGGGGTTGCAGCCCAGACATGTCTGGTTGTCACCCCCCAGTGGCCCTTTTTCTCCAATTCAGAATCTCACGCAACGCACCGCTCAGGAGGATGCTGATCTTCAGCGCAAACGTAGTGAGAGTAGGAAGGGATTTGAGGGGGCGGCTAGTGTGTTTCAGTACTGCGTTCAAACTGGGATCCATGTTACCTGGGAAATGCCGGAGCGGTGTCAAGCATGGAGGCTTCCTCTGTTGCATAGGCTTAGGGAGCGATACGGGTTGTATCAGGCTACGGCGAAGGGATGCAGAGTAGGACACCGGAAGCAACCATCTAGTCCTTTGATGCAGAACGGGTGGAAAATCCTGACCACTCAGCAACGACTGGCGCAGCTCCTGGATCTGCCGTGCAAATGTTCGAGGGACTACAAGCATGACCGTTGCGAGAACCACCAGGGATATCAGCATAGCATGTACCCCAAAGAGTTCGTGCGCCGAGCAGCTCAAGCCATCACTCAGGAGTTGAACATGAGCACCATACAACAGGAATGCCAAGGGAGCAGTGTGTTGATTTCAGCCTTTGGAGAAGGGATGTGCTGTAGTTGTGAGGTTTTGGGAAAAGCTGAGGGTCCTAGGCAGTGTGCTAGCTGTTTGACGAGTAACCAGGAAGCATCATCGCAAGCAGCCTCACAGACCTCAGGCCTCAAACCAGGACCTCCTCCCAGTAACTACCTGTCTACTGAAAATGAGCCCTTGTGTCAATGGGCTTCCCAAGTCCCTAATCATGGCCCTAGCCACGGGGAAAACTTGAGGTTGGAAGATCCTGACCTTGAGGCCCTTGCCACTCACGTTGATAGTGCCCAGTGTTTCGGAAGGATTCAACAGATCGAAGTCATTGCCCAGCAACTGTTGAAGCGTCGTGATTTTCAACATGAGAACTGTGAACAACTCCTCGAGCTCCTCCCTCCTGGTACCCCAAGTAGTGGTAGGCGTATGGTGGAACCCCAAGCTTCTAACTACATGATTCTGGGCATGTATGCCTACGGAAACCACTACGGCGTGACCAACAAAACGAAGCAATTTCCCCAGTTGACCCAGTATATCCACGCTTACATGCAACATCATCACAAGAAGCCTTTAGGTTGTAATGCGATATTGGTCAGTTGCAATGCCAAACATCCAGTCCACCGAGACCTGCACAACGATGCTGAAGTTCCGAATGTCGTTATTGGTCTAGGAAACTATCGGAAGGGTAGACTGTGGGTGGCTACAAGCCACCCGGAACAAGCGCATCCTACCAGCCGCAAGGTGTTGCCCAATGGGCAAACTGTGGTGGGCCAATACCACGACATCTACCAGAAGGCCCACAGCTTCTACCCAAAGGAGTGGCACGGACCCGAAGCTTGGACCGGAACTCGATGGGTTATTTCAGCATATTGCAGTCGGGGTTCGGAGTGTTTGGGTTCGGAGGATCAAGGGTTACTTCAGACTTTGGGTTTTTCACTTCGGAAGCCGGCGAGTGAGTCCCACAAACATGAGGTTCATGCGAACGAAGAAAAGCCCAAAGAAGCCCCAATGACCACGACCGAGAAAGAACGAATCCGCAAACAGTTGTACTTGCTTCATGCGGCTACGGGTCATGGGAGCACCCGCCACTTGATCGAAGCCCTCAAACGTCGGAAAGCCAAACCCGAAGTCTTGGAGTTAGCTAAGCAGTTCAAATGCTCTATCTGCGCCGAAAAGCAAAAGGTTACCCCTCGACATTTAGCGAGTTTGGAAGTTCTCCCTCCGAGATTTCACACCATTGCGGCCGATATAGGACATTGGCAACACCCTCGCACTAAAGAAAGTCACCAGTTCATGCTTATTGTGGATGAGGGATCTAGATTCAGGGTGGCTCGGTTTCTGGCCCAGGGCTCCAAACAACAGCCCAACGCGGCCACTTGCCTCCAGTACTTACGGGAAGGTTGGAGCCAGTACTTTGGACTCCCGAGAACATTGAGGCTCGATCCCGCAGGCGCGTTCCGGAGTGAAGCCGTAGTGTCTTTCTGTGAGCGAAATGGCATATTCTTGGACAACATCCCAGCAGATGCACACTGGCAGTTGGGAGTATGCGAACAGGCCGTCCATGGCCTGAAAACAGTGATGACCAAACTTGTTGATGACGACGATGATATCACTGCGGAGGGTGCTTTGACAACCGCTGTTCAGACCTTCAACAGTCGGGAACAGATTCGAGGATTTTCACCCATGCAACATGTTTTTGGACAGAGTCCCGACACCACGGGACGTATCATAGGCGCCACCGACCGAGTTCCAGAGGAGCTGATTACTGAATCGGCAACATCCGACCTGCAAGCCGCTGCATTGAGACGCGCATCGGCTGAGAAGGCTTTGGCCGACTGGCAGGCATCCCAACGAATCTCGCGAGCTATGAATTCACGCACCCGACCCGTCTTCGACTACCAACCTGGCGAGTTAGTGTATTATTGGCGAAGCCAGGTGTCAGGCCAAAGTCGGAAACACCCCGGGAGCAAACATGGCTACTTCCTGGGGCCAGCCCGGATCCTTGCGACAGAGCAGAGACGCGACGCTGAAGGGCACCTGTACCCGGGCAGCGCAGTTTGGTGTGTTCGAGGCCGACACCTAGTGAAGTGCTGTCCTGAGCAATTGAGACGGGCCTCGGAACGCGAAGAGCTTTTAGAAGCTCTGGCTGGAGAACACACTGGAGATGCCACCCCGTGGTCCTTCGACAAGGTCGCCGAAGAGATCGGTGGCAACCAATATGAGGATGTGTCACAGGAACGGCCACCCCCAGAAGAGTGGCGTCGTGCTCAGGATCCAGAACAAGAAGTGCCTCCAGCCCGTTTCCGAGTGCGAGGCAAGCGTGCATTGCCCCAGTCGGAGGCAGGAGAGATGGAGGTCTGGAATGAGGAGGATGCCACCCCCTCACAGCCCTCAAGACCAAGCCGGAGGATTGAAACATCGAATCCTCAGGGTCTCTACACCAAAGGCGAGGCATGGTACACTACTGTGCCGGAGAACTCCTGGAGCACATTGGCCTCAAGCTACTGGTCGGACCAAACAGCAGCTGTGGAGGTGGAAGTGGAGCTACCCAATGATGAGGCGGGATTCCGACGAGCTACGAATAACCTACGAGCCTACTTCACCGGAGCCCTACGACGTCGTGCAGTGGAGGTACACGAGCGCCATTTGAATGATGAGGAACGGACCGCCTTCAAGGCGGCCAAAGAAGCCGAGGTACGCAACTTTGTGGCTGCTGAGGCCTTTGAGGCTTTACCGGAAGGGTTGCGACCCTCCAAGGACCAGGCAGTCAACATGCGCTGGCTGCTCACCTGGAAGGTCCGGGAGGATGGTTCTAGGAAAGCCAAGGCTCGGGCAGTCCTTTTGGGCTACCAGGACCCGAGCTATGCTCAACGAGAAACCGCAGCCCCGGTTATGTCGAGGCAGACCAGACAGTGTCTACTGCAGATTGCCGCCAACAACAGGTGGGACATCCATAAAGGCGACGTCACTGGAGCTTTTCTCCAGGGCCGAAGCTATCCTGACACCTTGTATTGCATACCAACTGATGAGATTTGTCAGGCAATGGGTTTGAAGGCTGGGACCATCACAAGGCTCAGGCGAGCCTGCTACGGATTGGTGGACGCTCCACTGGAGTGGTATCGGACGGTCTCAGAGTTCTTTGAGGAGATTGGCCTCACTCGCAGTTGGTCCGATGCATGCTGTTGGACCTACAGGGTTGGAGGGGTGCTCAAAGGCCTGATAGCGGGCCATGTAGACGATTTCCTCTTCACAGGGTCCTCGACCGACAAGGGCTGGCAAGACATCATTGAGAAAATCAAGACGCGTTTTAAGTGGGGTGATTGGGACACGAATGACTTTGTCCAATGTGGGGTCCAGATTCGTAAGACGGCTGAAGGCTTTGAGTTATCACAGGAGAGGTATGTGACTGATATTCCGGACGTGCCATTGAACAGCCAGAGGCGGAAGGACTCCCAAGAACCAACCACCCCTTGGGAGAAAACCAAATTGCGGGCCTCACTGGGCGCCCTGAGCTGGCATGCCCAGCAAACGGCACCCCATGTGGCAGCCGAGGTAGGCCTACTTCTTTCTGAGGTCAATTGCAGTACGGTGGCAACCATACAGCGCGTGAATCAGTTGGTTCAGTGGACCAAAGCCAGAAAGGATTACAAGCTTCAGATTCATGGATTTGGTCCTTCGGAAGTTCTGGGAGTTTATGCTTGGGTCGATGCGGCTAGCCAATCCCCCACAATTAGAGGGGGGGGACGCTAGGGAGTGAAATATTTCACCTCGAGCGTGCCAGGGATCGGTAACTGGCATCGTCTTGCTACGAGGTATGTTGGGAACCCCCCCCCATGACAGATTGACTTCGAATGCACTGCAAGGCATGTCTAGCTATGCCGCCGGCAGGACGGTCAAGATGAAAAGTTTCATCCATCTGCCCCGTGAGCATCATCAGCAGCATACTTGAAATAACTGGAAAAATTTCGCACCCATTCTGTGAGAAGGCTGGACGCTCGGGGGTGCAGGATTTAGGATGGGGTATGGTGCAATCTGCAACATTCGGGGGGGGGGGGGCGTCCAGGAACCCGTGACCCTGCCGATGGAAACACCACCCCCCACCCCAAAAAGTTTCAGACCCACGTCCCACGTCACGACACCCGGAAAGCGCCACGAAGCAGAGTACAGCAGGCGTGCTCGTTCCCACGTTTCCCAATGCACCCCCGGATCAACCTGACACAACCCGGGACCTGCAACGTTCGGGGGGGGAGGTGTCCAGGAACCCGTGACCTTGCCGAGGGAAACCCCACCCCCCACCCCAAAAAGTTTCAGACCCACGTCCCACGTCACGACACCCGGAAAGCGCCACAAACCAGAGTACAGCAGGCGCGCTCGTTCCCACGTTTCCCAATGCACCCCCGGACCAACCCGACACAACCCGGGACCTGCAACGTTCGGGGGGGAGGCGTCCAGGAACCCGTGACCTTGCCGAGGGAAACCCCACCCCCCACCCCAAAAAGTTTCAGACCCACGTCCCACGTCACGACACCCGGAAAGCGCCACAAACCAGAGTACAGCAGGCATGCTCGTTCCCAGGTTCCCCAATGCACCCCCGGACCAACCCGACACAACCCGGGACCTGCAACGTTCGGGGGGGGAGGCGTCCAGGAACCCGTGACCCTGCCCAGGGAAACACGACCCCCCACCCCAAAAAGTTTCAGACCCACGTCCCACGTCACAACACCCTGAAAACACGACGAAGCAGTGGGGGGGGGGGGTAGTCGGACAAGCCATCTATAGAGGAGCCCGTCATCGTGAGCAGGAGCACTAGTGAAACAAAACACTCTGAGCGTCGGCTCTTGGCCAATCCGATAGCTGACTTCCTGTGTTCATACATTCCCTAGGAACAGAGCCAGGGGGTGAAATATTTCACCCCCTAGCGTCCCCCCCCCGAATCCAAGAGATATAGTCGGGGATGCTAGCCAGAACCGCGTGGACGGCGGAAGCACCCAAGGTTACTTCTTAGGTCTCGCGCCGCAATCCCTCTTGCAAGGAGAAGTGGCGCACATCAGCCCTATGGGCTGGGGATCTCATAAGATTGACCGGGCTTGTAGGAGCCCAGGCGCTGCTGAGACTCAGGCGGCGGTGAATGGCGAGGACGAGATGTTTTTCCTACGCTTTCAGTGGTCTGAGTTGATGTATGGGATTGCCAATGTTAGAGAGAAGGATCAGATTGTGTCACGGGTTCCTGGATGCGTCATCACTGATTCCCGGAATGTCTACGATAAGATGATGAGTGAGGTGGTGAGCATAAAGGGAGCTGAGAAAAGAGCGAACATAGAATTATTGGGACTGAAAGAGTCTCAATGGGCGACCAGTCCAAATCCGTTGGGTGCACAGTGAAGCTCAGTTGGCGAATGCTTTGACCAAGGCCGGGAGCAAAGAACTGGAGCTCTATTACAAGATGGGTTTCAAATGGCGAATTGTTGAGGATGAGAAGATGCGCTCAGCTCGACGTCGCAAAGCTCAAGGTCTTGATCCCCTGGAAAGTTCGCACATGCCAAGTTCCGAGATTTAGATAGTTTGGGTTCAGAAGGATTCTCAAGAGATCTCGAGTGGCCGGGACGCAAGCGCCAAGCGCTCGAGCATTCCCACGCAGCAACTGTGTGTCCATGCAGTCTGATGTGGATCAAGCAAGCAGAGTGCCAAAAGTCCATTTGAGCCGTTCGCCGCTCTCGATTGCCATAGGCCTGTGTTCGCTGCGATATCCCTGATACTTGAATCGGCATCTACCTGCAAGTACCACTTGCACCCCTTACCACCCCGCAGCTTCGCACAGCAATATGACCACACGCGGGCGCGACCCTCAGTTCTGGGTGTCAGAAGGCTTTTGTTCTAGGCCCCGATCCTGCAAAGCACGGGCGGGAGGGGCTGGGGGTCAGGATTTAGGGTCTAGGGTGGGGCTGTAAAGGGCTGTATCGGTTTTAGGGGTTTGTTTTTCGGGTTTGTTAGGGTTATCGGCTTACAGGGTGATTTCTGCGTGAAAGCGTGTTACAGGCTTGAACGGTGATCTAGGCCCTAGGCATACGGGGTTTTACAGGCCGTATAGGCTGCAGACACTTTTATAGGCTTTTAGCGCTTTTCGCTTCTACAGTGTGTTAGCGGGTTGTAGGGGTTGGGGGTGCCGTGCTGGCTGCTAATCAACATAACCGTTCTGTTCCGTGCAGATTGTCCGAGCCTCCTCGTAATCAACATAGTGCTGTTCTTTCAGCCCAAAGAATCTAGGATTACAATGTCCGTATAGAGGGCCGATACTATTTTTGCCACTGGTTGGCCTGCAGTCTACATGTCGAAAGGAAGCTGCAGGATGCAAGATCAGCAGGCCAACAGCTCCGATCCAACCTGAAAGATAAACGCCCAAAGCCCTAAACCCTTGAACGGGGCGGAGTACCTAATCACAATGTGGTCCTATGGTGTGCGGTGTGCTTATAAAGGCTGCTCAAGCTTATCAGGCCGCAATAGCAAGTACAAGCCCTTGTTAAGGTTTTAGAAGGCTGCTTCAAGGCGTTTTGCATTTTTGTGTTCTGATTATGGAGGGCCTTCAGCTTGCGATATAGCCTTACTGTAGTTGTGGTGACTAAAAGATGATGACTTCATTGTGCATCTCTGTGTCTATATGGGAGTTTCCGAAAATTAGGGGCACCTTATTGGGGGTCCTCATAATCAGGATCCTACTATTTGGGGTACTATCTTGGGGTTCCCTATTTTCGGATACTCTCATATTGACTATGAACCACAAGCCACCCCCAGTTGCGAAGCCCGTGCACTATGAGCTAAAGGCAAGCATGTCCAGCATCCTGCCAAAAAAGCTTCAGGCTAAGCCTTGTCTTAACTGCTCTATGTTCACGCCACATCGACTTTGAACAACCGCAAAATACCGTGTATCTGCTTTGAAGCTTGTCGAACCCGTACGAACCCGAAGCCCTACAAGCCTACCCTATTCAATTATTCAATTCTCCCTGACCCGAGACCCTAAAATCCAATTCCCCATGACGCAATTCCCCGTAGCACCCTAAACCCTACCCCTAAACCCTGTACCGCTAAGCCCTGTGACCCCATAAAGCCCTGAACCCTGTGACCCCCAAGCCCTAAACCCTGTGACCCTATAACCCTATAAACCCTATGACCCTAAACCCAACGAAACCCGGTGACCCTATAACACCAGGGAGTTTCCAAAAATCGGGGACCCGATTATAATACCTTAAATAGTAGGACCCCTATTATAAGGACCCAAACATAAGGTACCCCTAATTTCGGAAACTCTGAAGCCGTAAACCTTACACCCGTTATAGAACCCTTGTAGATCCCTTTAAGGAATCCTCAAACAATCCCTTTAAAGGCACCCCTAATTTTCGGACACTCCCACAAGGTGCCTTTGAGGTCCCTCGCTTGCAGCCAGTTCTTCGTGACGGGCGCGAGGCGCCTTTCCGCTTCAGCGGCAGCTGCCGGCAGAGTCGCAAGCACCTCGCATTAGGTGCCGTACTATATTAGGGACCCAAAGAGGGACCTTAATTTTGACAACTACCCATATGATTTCATCTACTCTACCCCAAAGGCTCCATGTACCTTTATAGTAGATACTTAAGCCTTAAAGGGGTCCTTATGTAGGTAATTTAAGGCCTAAGTGTATACTATATGAATACATGGAGCCTGAGGGGCTGTTGATGGTCGCTGTAGCAACGTTAGTAGCTTAGTAGTGGCAATGCTAGGGGTTGCGGTAGTGGTAATAGTATAGTGGTAGTGGTAGTGTGTAGTGGTAGCGGTAGCGGTTGTGGTTGTTAGTTTGTCGTTGCGGTTCCTAGTTGTGCCTGCTGTTGTTGCTGCTGCGATTGAGGTCATTGTTGTTGTTGTGGTTGTCGGGAGCCCTAAACCCGAATACCCTAAGCCCTAAACGCGAATATGAAACGCTGCCAGGCCGCCGAATTGGCAGACACATCGGTTCGGGCCACCTGCCACCTGAGAGCAAACTTGCCCAACACCTCAGAGAGACAGATTTGGGTTTGGGGGTTGGGGCAAAGGCTAGGGCTTACAGTTTAAGGCTTTTCGTGGAGGTACGGGGTTCAGGTTTTAGAGCTTTAAAAGCGGAGTGTTTAGGGCTTGGGGCTTTGGTTTTAGGGGTGGAGGGTTGATGTAACAGGGATGTTGCGGTAAAGGTTCATGGTTCATGGGTAGCCACGCGTAGACAAGTGAGGCTTCAGCGTTCAGGGTGTCTCGAAGTTCTAGTAGGTTCCAAAGAATCCTCCATATCTATGTTTTCCTAGAGTCTCCATTGTAGTTCCTTCTGTTGGTTATCCAGCAGTTTTATGGTTGGGATCCCATAATATAGATTTTGGTTAACCAAAAACAGGAACTACAATGGAGACTATAGGTAGGATACTTAACCAAACCAGAACCGTAGGGGGTCGCGCTTAAGCTGTCGAGTTTAGCAGTTTAGCGCTCGGGGCTTCGAAATTAAAGGCTGAACTCACTACAAGTTCGGAATGCTGGGCCTAGTGTATGTTGGACATGGAGTGTCAAACTCTGTAAAACTTCGTTCATATACATGAACATATCTTCTATATATATATATATATATATACATATAAAGCATGAATGTAGAGAAAACTTTACATATGTATGTGTGCGTACGTATGTATTGCAGACGTACATAATATGCAGGTAGGTATATATGTACGTATGTTTTTTGTGTAGATAGGTACGTATGTACATATGTAGATAGGTATAGGTTTCTTATCTATAAGCTGTCCGGGTGGCGGTGTTAGACGATGAGGGCTTTTAGGTGCTCCCTACAGAACAACACGACCGCACAGAAGCTGTGGGCGCTTGCAGGCCGCATCTACAACTCCACGAAAGCGTGAATCTAGGGCTAGTGATTATGAGTTTCGGCACAAATTGCAGCACACTTCTGAGCGAAATCCGAAGGAATAATAGTGGTGACTGTTCAGGCTTCTGTAGCAGACACTCTCAAGATGCCGGGCATACACTTCCACACAAGTAGCTCGAAATCCAAAAACGCCGAATCCTACGAACTTGAGCAAACCCTACCTGAACCCGAAATAACAGTGACCTGCCAAGTTTTAGGGTTCCTTTTACTATACCCTAAGCCATAATGCCATAATGTTACATGCCCAACCCGTAGCACTGAACCCCTAAGATACACCAGACCAGTTTCGGGATGTTTGTTGGCGCTAACCTTTTGCCTCACAAAAAGCGCGATTCTCTGCAAACCCTGCACAGGTGACACAGGTGGTTCGGGTTTAGCTTACATGTTGGAGTTCGGAAAAAACGAGGGACCAGGATCCTGGTCCTAGTTGTGAGGAATCCTAAATCAAGCACTCAACATCTTCTGCATCTCCCATATCTACGAATCATCATACTTGCCCTTCCTTTCTCTTAACTCCAGATCCCTCTTCCCGCCCAGTTGCCGCAGGCAGTATTGGAGGAATCCAGAAAAGGAATCCAGCCTTTGGGCCAGTTGGAGGGGCAGGGGACTTAGTAAGCCGTTCATAAGTAGGGTTAGAAATCGGGTAGCTCCATTTAGGGTACTTATAACTCTACTTAAAACCTATTTACTAAGTCCCCTGCCCCTCCAAGTAGAGCAGACTGGATCTGAGAATTAGAAGAAATTAGTCTTTCAGTAGGGTCTTAGAGTACTTCGTCTATAGAAGCTGGCAAAATAAGGTCTTGGAATCTTAGACTGTGTTTAGAGTGCTCTGCGATAAAGACTGTCAGTGGCTGCTCTTGCTGATGTTTGCAGGCCTCTGAGCCAGAGCATGTGGAGTTCAAGTCAACCCGAAAGACCTAGACTCGCAATCCGACAGAGACAAAGACGCTATGATGGCGACATATCGTCAAACTCGAAGCCAATAGGTGCGACTTCCAAATGTCTTCAAGGGTGTAGGGGTTCTGCGCGGGTTGTAGGGCTCAGGGTATGTATGGCTTTCAATAGTCAGCCAGGCACTCCAAGTATCAGTCATATAGGGACCTTAATAATTACAGTAGTTGCTTGTATACGAAATAAAACAGGAACCTGCAAAAAAGTATTGGTAAGGTATTAGCGCCCCTATAGTCTCTCTTGAGTACCGGTTACCCTAAACCCTAAAAGGAGGATACCAGATGTCGAGAATGCTCACCTATTGAACCTATTAACCCGTAAAGTCCTAAAGCCTACACCGGAGTATTGGGCTTCGTCTTGGGGCTCATGTGCTGCCGCTTCGCACGGGGCACACAAAAAACCATGAAACCCCTAAACCCCACGGACATCCAGTCGAAAGCCCCCAAATAAGACTGTAGATACAAAATCGCTGCCAGCTTTGATACCTCAAGTAGCTTGCTGAAACTCTATACCGTATCGCCATTGTAACGGTTCAAGTCATTAGCATCACAACAACACTAGCACGAGTGATAGTTGCACGGATAACACGGATAAACCGTTAAACTTGGCCCGGAACTCACCCTGCATCCTAAATCACAAAACACGCGAAACCCCTAAACCCCTAAGCCCCAAACCCCCTAACCCTATGTAAACCAGCACAAATCAGCCAGGTTGCCAACTTTGCAGGGCATCTCCCGGCGGTTGAGGCAGTGAGCCGGATCAGCCGTTGTCCCAGGTTGGCCCTGAACGACAGCCACTTGGAGGCTCATGGGTAGTTATAAGGGTCCCTTTAAGGGTCCCTTTGAAGGGATCTATAGGGATTCTATAAGGGTATAGAGTTTAGGGTCTACTTGGAGGTTCATGGGTAGTTATAAGTGGGGTTATAAGCCCCCTAATATGGATTATAATGATAGTTACCCTACCTTTAACCCTACTTATAACTACCCATGAACCCTAATCCCTAAACCCTACAACCCTATAGATCTCTTTAAAGGAGCCTACTTATAACTCTACTTATAACTACCCATGAACCTCCCAGCAGTGGCAGAGGGTCTACTTAACGGAGCTTGGGTTTCGGATTTCAGGCTCAGGGCGTTTAAGCATTAGGGATCAGGGTGCTTTTGACCTAAGGCTTAATTAGGGTTCTGTCAGGCTGGGTTTAGGACAGCTTAAGACTTATAGGGCCGTCTCTTATAAGCTTGAAATGTGCCCTTTCACTCGCTGTCGGCACCGGCATTTGTGGCCCACAACCGAACAGGGCTTTCGCGTTTAGGCTGCTTAGGGTTTAGGATGTGTATATATATATATATATGTAGAAATACCTTTAAATATGGATGGGGTGACAACTGCCCAATGTATCCGCTTACCTAAAACAAGCAATACTCACAAACCAACCCTGCTTGGAGCATGAAGTCTTCCATGCTACTGTAGGAGCCGTCTATCATGCCTGGAATCAGGCTTCGACAGCACATAAGAATGAGCTACATCACCTGCTATTCAGATTTCTGAATTAGGCCAGGGGTCCTAATACTCGTGCACCTTACCTGAGAACCGCCAGAACCAAACTTGGAAGCCTGGATAGTTGGGGCTTCCATCATGTGTGTATGAAGAGAAAACAGATGTATATGTGTGTGTGTGTGTCTGTCAGTGCAAACTTGAATATATATATATATATATATATATATATATATATGTACAGATATTATAATGCAGACATACAAACAAACATACATATGTACATACGTAGATATATAGATATACAGATACACCGATATACACGTTGACATAATAATATGTACATACATACATACCTACATACTTACATACATACATACATACACATTGTTCTACATACAATTCTGTAGGTCCTGTGTCGCACACCTACACCTGATCACCCCAAACCCCAAAGCACTGAACAAAACGAAAACCCCGAACACCCGGATGTCCCTGATAACTCGAATTGACAATGCTAAACCCCGAAACCTTACTGCGCCGAGACACTCCTTGCACCACCCGCTCGAAGGGCGATGCTGCTGGCGCTGGTGCTGGCGCACTTGGAGCTGCTGCTGCCGGAGCTGGTGCTGCCTGGTTTAGGGCTTAGGGTCTTGATTTGGGTTCGGGATAGAGTTGCATTGCTTTGGTTTTGGCGTGTTGGGATCCCACACATCAAACCCCAAGGGTCACAGTACCTAATAATCATATACCCTCCAGGATCCTAAAGTCCTAAACCTCCAAAACCCTAAACTACATAACTACTCTCCTAAAACCGAGTACCTAATTCTTGGGTCCTTTGGACCCTTAGGGAAATTTTTAGCCTGGATGTCAATGAATCTGGCTGTGAAGGCGGGGGAATGTTGCGGTTGAAGGGTGTAGAAACTTGGGAATTTTCGCTTTGTAGGGGTACCCTATTTTCGGAAACCCCCGTTTAGTACCGCGATGGAGGCTGGTAGCAGCACCCGTTTGGTGCGTATGGGCTTTGGGGGACTAATGTTGGCAGTGGCACTGGGCTCTAAGCGTCGGGGGTTTATTGTTGGAGTCAGGGGCTGTTGAACAAACATCATACTACCTGACAAAAAGCTGCAACGCCCGCTCAACGCATCAAAACCAAACGACAGTGCTATGTCTTTTCAGACTTCAGCAATTCCGTACCAAATCCAATACACACCCTACGGAACTGCTTCAGAAAACACCAGAGATAGTAGACAATACAATCGACACCTAACGCACATTGACACACATACTGTGTGAAACAACCATAGTATTCACGGAATATGAGACCCCAGCCAGCCTCTACGGTGCACATAGCCTTCAAGCCGTCACTTTTGCAAACGCCCATCAAGCACTTGCACTGGTTGATCATGCCTGGGCCATGCGGCGGGCTGCCATTTCTTAACCCCAAAACCCAAAACCCTGAAGGTTTGCATATTTGGGAGCTTCCTTGTAAACTGTTGATGGACCAGGACCCCCCCACGTGCCCTGAAAAGGAGCCCGTATGGTCCTTAATTGTTATTGGTGTTTATCATATATTAGAGGTAGTTGGGGTGTCTAGGGGGAGACATGGCTTTACATCGTTTAGTTTTAAAACCCTTTCACCTATGCGAATGTACTTGTACGCATATGATGTATGGGGGTCCAATACTCACATCCTCGTAAGAACACCCAATGGGTATCCTCGCCAGTATGCTTAAGGAGCGCTATATTACATACACTCTTGGAACTTCATATGTGCACCTTAACCTTAATCTGCTAAACCGTACCTGTAGCCCAAAATGCAAGAACTTCTGATGGAATTATAAAAAGAAACCTTTAAAGCGAACCTTCAAAACCAAGGCCTTTTGGGCTACACTTCACTTGGGCCCCTGGCGCACGGCAGAACTCCTACATTGGCAATACTTCGGATAAAGCTGGACGTGATGCATTAGCGATCCCTCTCGGTCCATGTCCCTCAAAGATTGTATATTTGGCCTTAACGAGTCCCTATCTGGGTACAGTGGTACTTTGGGGCCATACTTGGAGGGGCAGGGGACTTAGTAAGTAGGTTCTCAATACTAGGGTAATTAAAATTCTGAGGTAAGCAAGAGAGCTCACTGTTAAAGAGAACTAATTACAACCTGATGACGGAACCCTAGACCTTAAACCATACCTAAGCCTTACCTGAAGACCCTGAAGATACATTTGGAATGTGTGCAGAATGCTTGTGCGATAACCCTAAACTCTAAAGAAACCAAAGGTAAGAACGTTCTTTCCGGGCATTCCGGCATTCGGTGAGTCCAAAACCCGATAAGCGCTAAAACCCGTAAAGCCAAAGCCCTAAAATGCAACTCAGCTGCCATTCCCGCCCTTCATGCAAGCTGCACCATCGGGACATTTTGTCTTCTCCTTGAGAAAACTCATCCACAAGGCAGGGAACGGAACCAACATTTTGGGCTTCGAAGGGCCAGGGCCAGGAACTCCAGAAAGTTGGAATATGGTTTCAGGGTAGGATACCTTCTAATTTACCATAAAGGGTTTAGGATAATCATATTCCAACTTTCTGGCTTTTACTTTAGGGGTTTAGGGTTAGGGATTTAGTCTGCCCTTGCCACTCGTGAACCTTGGGTTCAGGGTCGGTGGTTGCAGTTTCGAGTTTGCGAATTGAATGATCAGGGCTTTCGGTTGCCGGGGAAATATGACCCTCCAACCCTGTGCTTCGGGACCGTGACACATCCCGAAAACCACAACTTTCCCTGCACTAGCGGCCGAAAATCATTTGCAGACTCCTTAGGGTGAGCTCCCTTTGTGTGTTTACCGTCTCCAAACCCTGAATCAGCAAGCTCATTAACACTCCGCAGCTACGTGCAGGTACTGAACCCTAACCCAAGCAATCTCATGCATGCCCATGCATGCCCAAGGGCACTGTCTTTGGAGAAGGGGTTCCAGAAGACGTCGCACGGCATTTCGCCTCCACCAGGTGGGCAGTTGAGTCGATCCGCAGGTTCAGGGGTGTGGGGGTTTAGGGTTTAGCGTTCAGGGGTTAAGGGTTCAGGGGTTCAGGGTTTCGGGTTCATGGGTTTAGGGTTCATGGGTTTAGGGTTTGGGAATCTAGGACATGGTAATATAAGTTTCAAGGTCGGCTTTGGGAGTCGTTAAGTACTGCTTTCGGTTGAGGTTTGTTGATCCGGAGTCTTGGAGATTCGGACAGGAGAGCTCATGGCATGAGATTGGAGGTTTGCAGTTTGGGATGCTTGGGCATGTCGGGAGTTCCACTATGCACTTGGGGAGTGCACAGTTCGGCTTAACCACAAAGCCTTGGGACTTTGATCGACATTCGCCCAAAAAATCGAAGCTATGCAAGCTCTTGCCCTCTAGCCTGCCTACCCCACGAGGTGCCTCATGAAAATACCACCGAAAATTCCAAGACTATCAATTTCCAAGTAGCTCATGCTCAGATCATCTTTATACGCCCCAACAATAGTACCCTACATTATCGTATGCTCACCATAATACAAACCCCAGCCCCGAGTATGTACTATCAGAAGCCATGGAACTCGACGAAACCCCACACAGATCTTTCTTCGGGAGGATCCAGGTATCTTAGAAGTATGTAGTTCGGCGTTAAAGCGCTATATGTATGTATGTATGTATGTATATGTATGTATGCATATATAGAGTAGTTTGAAATTAGCTAGATACATTGAAATTAGCTAGATACATACAAAATTTAGGGCCAGAAGCACTGAACCCGTAACCGCTGCTAAAGCAGACGCCAGGAACCCACACACCTTCAACATCTAAGCCCTAAAATCCTAACACCTCCAACTTCTTCAAGAACTTGAATCAATCGCCACCAACCACACTCTTAAACAGAGCACAGCTTGACAATTGACATCCCTAAGAATGCAGGATGCAGTTGCACCCAGCTCATCTGGGAGCCCAAACGGTGTTCGCTACACCAGGCGGGATCGTTGACATCGACCTTTTTTTCTAACTTCTAAACCCCGCAATATGGGGGCCTAAGTGATTGCCAATACTATGTTGGGGGTTCTTAGTATGCTTTTTGGTGATGGCCCCAAAACCCTATTCTAACTATGAGACCCATATGTTGAACCCTTTCTGTTTTTGTTACCGCTTGCTGAGGCTCTGGGCTTTCTCTGCGGTCTAGTGCTGCTTCGGGGGAGGCTTTTGGGCTCATGGGTTTAGGGCTCAAGGTTATGACTTTTGGTCGTCTCTAGTGTTGTAAGAACTACGCACTCGTTTTAACGTCTTTGGAGGTTCATGGATCAGAGGTTAAGGAGTTTAAGGGTAGGCGTTCAGGATTCGGGGCTTTCAGGGGGACAACAAAGACAGTATATGCCATAGGTAAGCTGGAAGCTCACTGCCCTAAGCGCAAACTTTGCCTCACTGTAGGGAGTATACTAATTATCAGCACGAATCATCCGTTTCCCAGTTTGCAGTTCTACGGGTGTAGGGCTCCGGCTGGGGTTCGGGATTTCCTGGGGAAATGATTTGGCGACTGGGGCACACTGAACATACGTAGCAAGTAGGGGGAACGGGTAGGAAAACCGCAGTTCGAATCAATTATTGGGCTTAGATTTGAAAATGAACCTCGAGCAGAGCTTAAGGTGCAGCGTTCAGGGCAAGATCAGAACATAGATACCCTGAGCCGCAGATGTCGGATGTAACAGAACCCTGCACGCAGCCGCCAAACCCTACATCTTTGGGGGTCGTTGCTATGATTGGTATGATGTCCAGGATTGCATTAAAACTACCTGTAAAGAGGGTTCATTAACATAACTATACCACAGTGTACCCCAAAAGACTATTGTAATTATGATGCCCCTTTGGTCCGATTCTACACCTTAAGCCCCAATAGAAGCCCTTTACAGGGAACCCTGGAAAGGACCCCTTCAACGAAACCTCTATGCATCCCTTAAAGGACCCCTTTAAAGGAACCCCTATGGATCCGAGTCTTCGGCTACAGGTGCTACAAGTAAGGCCTGCATCCCCTCTTCGAGCTCAGTCGACATGAATCCCATCCCTAGCCCGACAAAGACAGAACCCCACACCTTAGAAGCTGCCCCCACCCTGTAATAGTGACTGTAAGGATTATATTAGGGCCCTATTCTATTCCGATTATACCACTATTCTATACCCCCCTTCTAAGCTACACCCCAAACCGAAACCCAAAGCCAAAGGCCCCCCGAATACCAGACATCTTGCGAATTTGCCACGCCGAAACCATCCCACATCCTCAAATAAGATTGTCGCAGTCTAGGGTTTAATATAGGGTTGGGTTTGGACACGAAGCCCTAGACCCCAAAGCTGCAACCCCTAACTTGCCCTAAACTTCAGCCCCAAATCCCAAACTCGAGATCCCTAGACCCCTAAATTTGCACCCGAGCCCTCAAAACTCGCAAGTCCGGCCTGCTCCTTCATTCCATGCTGTAGGAGGGAACTGGTGTCCTGCATGACCCAAGGATGACACAGAGACTCCAATGTCCGTCAATTAAGGAATATTCCTTAAATCATATTAGGGATCCTATTCTAATTTAAGGAATATTCCTTAAGTCATAAAGGGATCCCATTATATGTTAAGGAATGTTCCTTAGTTAAGGGATATTGGAGTCTCTCGGGACACAAGCGAAAAGCGGTCCAGGGCCAGCAAGGTTTCATAATCTGAGGCTTGATTTAGGGTTTAGGGATTTAGGATGCTTTTGTTGAACTCCTGTTCTCCCCAATCCACTCGCGCGGACTCGCGCGTCTCAATTTAGGGGTTGAGGGTTTAGGGGTTTAGGGTTTAGGCTTATCATAGAACTACATATTGAGGGTACCGGGCTTGCGGAAGCTAGGAAAGGTACGGAAACCCGGAACCACACCCGCAACCTCCCATCACTGGCTGAAGCACGGCCCGACATTCAAACCTACTATACTTGATGCAAAGTAGACGCACCCAGCTCTAAAGCCTACCCTCTAGGCACCCGAAGCCCAAAATCCTAACACCCTCAACATCCCTAAACCCTGAATTCGATGATGAAGGGGTAAGCAAGGGGTGGAGGGGGGGTGGATGTAAGGTTGAAGAACCCTAAACCCGAAGCCCCAAACCCCAAGCCGGGCCGGTCGAGGGCTCTTGGCTCAGAGCCTGGTCGCTAGCATCGGTATTATGGTATATTTTGATATGCATGTACACTGTAGGTTTAGGGTTTAGGGTATACAAGTACAGATAGAGAGATTGATGTGTAGATATACACATCAACAACTATACATATTACACGCGCATTTGCAAGCATCGTGTGACGGCTTGCTGCGAGTCGATCATCCGAAATTGCTTCTAATCCTTCACTTCGGATCGCGTCAGGGTGCCATAACCCCCCCCCCCCCCGGCCTTACTTGAAAGCCTGAAGTCTTAATCGTATCCAGGATTCCAGCGAGTTTAGAGTTAGGAGGGCTCTGGGCGTCCATTCTGGGTCTAGAAAAACACGCGCACGAGATGCTTCTAAACATCACTGAATGTCTAGCACATGCTGTACAGGAGCGACCAACAGGTAAGGACATGTTCTCCAGCCCCGCAAATCCTTCCATGCTCCTCCTAAACCCGTCAAGCCAAGCGAGCCGCTTCCTAAAGCCGGAACCCCAGCCGCTCCTCCTGGCAGTCAGGGCAGTCTTCACTGCGCGCCAGCAGGAAGCTGCATACTATCAGCCTCGGCTGTACAGTTGGGGGCCATGCAGACCCTTGACTAAAAAGTAAAACCTTAAAGGAGCCCTTACATAGATCCCTATTATGGTAATTTAAATTCAACTTGAAAAAGACAATCCCCGGTGCCTTCCAGGGGATGGTGGTAGGGATGCTACTAGGGATGCTACTAGGGAAGCCCTTCGACGGAGTGGGTTGAATAATCAGGGTTTGTTGGGCACCCTGTGGCTCCAAGGACAGATAATCTTCTAGGAACATGGGACCCAATAGCCTTCCCTTACGAGGCTTTTGGGCTATTGTGCGCCCTAGAAACGCTACAAGCCTAAACTCAGCAGAGGAAAACCTAAGCCATAAACCCTAACTCGGAAAAAAATTAGGCCTGAAACCCTAAACCTTGAAGCCCCGAGTGTAAGACTTGTAAGACGCGCAGGTCTGCCCTGCCAAGACCTCACAGCCGAGGCGCAAAAGGCGAGCCATCTGAGCGACCTCAGCTCTCTCCGGCAGAAGACTTGAGCTGTCAAATCTGTAAACCGTTAAACCCCAAACCCCTGAACCCCTAAACCCTAAACCCCCAAACCCCTAAACCTCAAACCACCCA